TTTTTTTTTTTTTTTTTTTTTTTTTTTTTTTTTTTTTTTTTTTTTGTGATGCGTGTTGTTTTGATCTTTGGAATTTCTTATATACATAATTTTCGACTCATTTATATTTGTAGAATTATAATTTTATTAATTTTATTAAAAATTAATTAAATATATTAAAATTTATAATTTGTATATATACTATAAAAAATTATTTAGAACTACATAACTTTCTTATTTTAAAAATTTATTATTAAATATAGGAAAAAATATAAAAAATGATAAATTGTCTTAGATGCCCGTGACTGCTAATGGCCAATAATAAAAATAATTTTTGGTGGTAATTGATTGTGATAACTATTATCATCAACGGATTTATATAAATGTATTTATCATGCTATAATATATTAACATTAATATTAATATTTCTAAAAATGTTTTGCCCTTTGAAAAGAAAATGTCATTTTTTTTAAATGGCTCAATTTTTCCTTTGATAAACATATTTTCCAAGCATTCGAAATCTAGAAAAAAGTTCTCTAAGTAATGTTATTGTTTAGAAACAAACGGAGCCTAACTAATTATATTTTATTATTTTAAACTATTTTTTATTCCAAAATATAAATTGTTTGAGTTTTTTATATAGTGATTAAGGAAATAATTAATTTTCTTAAATTATAACAAAATCAAAAATAATTTAACTAAATTACGGTTAATCTTAAAATTAAGGTTAAGTTGTGAAGATTAATTATTATATTTAATATTAATAAGGGTAATACTATAAAAACATATTACATTGCTTTTTAAAATACTCAAAAAAGATTTATATTTTAAGATAAAAGTATTACTCTAAAATCACTTGTATTCAGGAAGGAATATGTTTTATCATTTAATCTCTAAGAATCACTCAAAAATCAAAGGATGGAATAAATTTCCCTATACAAAATACGTGCCTATACAAAATTTCTTGCTTACACAGTTAAAGAATTTTCTTTCTATACAAATATTAAAAACTCAAAATAAGCTAAGAAGATAAGCTCCCACACAAAAAGAAAAGAAAATGGAGTGGAGCTATGACAACTTACTTGCCAGCTTTAGCCTTCTCTTCTTGGCAACTATAGTACTTCTGCTGCTGAATCAGAGAAAAGCCAGACATGGAGCCAATCGGCAACGACCACCAGGGCCAAAGCCTTGGCCGATCTTCGGCAACATACTGCATCTTGGATCTATGCCACATAGGACCTTATACAACCTAAGGTTCAAGTACGGCCCTGTACTTTGGTTAAGCCTCGGTTGCTCCAACACACTCGTTATTCAATCTGCCAAGGCAGCTGAAGAACTGTTCAAGAATCATGACATCACTTTCAGTGACCGGAAAGTTCCAGAATCTTGGACAGCTCATAATTACTATCAGGGTTCGCTTGCTTTTGGCCGATATGGCTCCTACTGGCAATTTCTTCGCCGGACAGTCACGGTTGAGCTTATGACCAGCAAGAAAATCAATGATTCGGCTTTGATTCGCCAAAAGTGCATAGACAAGATGATAGAGTATATTGAGGAGGATGTGGCCACGGCAAATGCAAAAGGAGATTCAGGGGAGGTGGTGGTTGCTCGTTATGTATTTGTAATGGCATTTAATTTGATAGGAAATCTTGTTCTCTCAAAGGATCTTTTGAATGCTCAGTCCAAAGAGGGAACTGAGTTCTTTGATGCCATGGATAAGGTTATGGAGTGGGGTGGGAAGCCAAATATTGCTGATTTTTTTCCGTTTTTGAAAGGTCTAGATCCTCAAAGAGTAAAAAAGAACATGAAGGTAGCTTTAGGAAGAACCATAAATATAGTGGACAAGTTTGTGAAGGAGAGAGTTGAAGAGAAGAAATTAATGAAAGAAAATGTGAAAAGGGACTTATTGGATGCATTATTGGAGTATGAAGGTGATGGCAAAGGACCTGATAAGATCTCAACCCACAATATGCACATAATAATATTGGTAAAACATTTTTCTCTCTTTCTCTCTTAACAGTTTATTCATGTCAATCCAACCAAATCTGTTAGTACTAATCAAATATTAAATTGCTAGCCGTAATGCAAGATGTTAAAAAGATTTAAGACAGATTAATTTTGGAGGCAAAGCTTATATCATAAAGTTAATTAATAAACTATATTTATTTGACCAAGACGCTTTGATCTAGTAATATTAGAGTTTTCGCCTAATTGATTCATAAATGTTGCTGTTTTTTGAACTTATGATTGATCTGTTGCTGTGCAGGAAATATTCTTTGGTGGCACTGAAACTACTAGTGGAACTATTGAATGGGCGATGTCAGAGCTGTTCAGTAACCCAGAATCAATGATGAAAGTCAAAGAAGAGCTGAATCAAGTGATAGGAAAAAGGAAGGTTGAGGAGAGTGACATAGATGAATTGCCATACTTACAAGCAGTAGTCAAAGAAACGATGAGATTGCATCCTGTAATCCCATTGTTAGTTCCAAGAAATACATTACAAGACACAAACTTCATGGGCTATGAAATACCTAAAGACACACAAGTTTTTGTAAATGCATGGAGTATTGGCAGAGACCCAGATGCTTGGGAAGATCCATTGTCTTTCAAGCCTGAAAAATTTATAGGCTCCAATATTGACTACAAAGGCCAAAACTTTGAGTTGTTACCATTTGGATCGGGAAGAAGAATTTGTGTAGGCATACCATTGGCTCACCGCATAGTTCAATTTGCTTTAGCCTCTCTGCTTCACTGTTTTGATTGGAAGCTTGACAGCCATTCTGCTGTAGATACTCTAGACATGAATGAAAGGATGGGATTTACAGTTAGAAAGCTCAAACCAGCAAAAGCAATACCAAAGAAGAAAATTTTCTGAATAAACGATCAATTTCTCTTGTTATTATCAAATAATATTGTCCGATTAAGACTCTAAATTCCAAATAGAGATTATCCTATTTAAGTTGAAATAAATGATTCTCCCTGTACTTGCATTTTTCTTGCAGGCTTATGAATATTGAGATGCATCAATAATATTCGTAGGCTTTAGCTTTATATTCAATATGATATAGTTTTGAATTCGAGATGATTTCCGAAAATTGGAGAGTGAGTTTAAAACAGGAGATAATTTAGGGACTTATAGTTTTAGAATTATAATCTTATTATGTACGTTTGCAATTACACTTTCAATTGCTCTTATGAAATAAAGTATCAAAACTTGGTATGTTTTCACAAAGTAATTTATCTTTGAAAAATATTTTTCATAAAATTTTATTTCTATTATATTTAGTTGCAATATTAAAAATTTATTAAAAATATTAAAATTTATAATTTATAACACACTATAAACACTTATTTAGAATTATATAAATTTTATATTTTAAAAATTTATTATTAAAAAAGAAAAATGCATAAAAATGATAAATTGTGGTTGGTGCTAGTGACATTTGGCAGTAGCCAATAAACAAAATAATGATTGGTGGTGATTGATCGTGGTAAATATTAATGATTAATGGATTAATATAATTGTATTTTTCAGGTTATAATATTAATATTCTAAAAATGTTTTGCTTTTTGAAAAGAAAATGTCATTTTTCTTTAAAATGACTTAATTTTTCTTTAATAAATATATTTTTCGTTGACTAATTCTTTTGAGTAATGCAAACATTAAAAAATTTAGAACAAGTTTTTTAAGTGATTAAATTATTTTTTGCAAACAAATAGAGGCTAAGAAGATAAAGTTTTCTTATCCAAAATACGTAGCAGTGCCAACTACTTACACAGTTAAGGAAACATTAGAAACTCAAGTATAAGCTAAGAAGATAAGCTCCCACGCAAAAAAAAAAAAAAAAAACAAATAGAGGCTCAAGAAGATAAAGTTTTCTTATCCAAAATACGTAGCAGTTGCCAAACTACTTACACAGTTAAGCGAAAAACATTAGAAACTCAAGTATATATGCTAAGATAGAGTTAAGCCTCCCACCGCCAAAAAAAAAAAAAAAAAAAAAAGCGATGGAATTGGAGTTATACTACTACTGAAATCAGAGAAAAATAAGACATGGGATGGCCCACCAACAAACAGCCACCATTGGCTAAAAGTTTGCCAATCTCCATCGGTAACATATTGAAAAAAAAAAAAAAAAAAAGGATGGAATGGAGTACCTACTACTACTGAATCAGAGAAAAATAAGACATGGAGCCCACCAACAACAGCCACCATGGCTAAAAGTTTTGCCAATCTCCGGTAACATATTGGATCTCGGATCCATGCCACTGTTGATGCGGACTCGTTGTCAAGGTCCAAGTAGGCTATCGCGCCAAAAACTTATTGGCTCGCTGATACATACTCCGCAAGTGCACGGGTCATATAAATACTATAAAAAAAATATCGTCCCCACATGAATTGATTAATTGATTATTAGAATATTTAGCTTCTGATTATCTAGAACTTCGCGATGTGTTATCCAAATAATAAATAATAAATTTATAAATAAAACTAATAAATAATAGCCAGCAAGCCAAAGTCATCCACAAATACAAATTATTAATAAGTAGAGGTAATCTAGCCATGGAATATCCATTAGCTTAATGCAAATCGCGGACAGTTGATTTAATGGATTATACCTATTCCTGAAGAAGAATTAACTTAAAGTATTTAAGTTTTTCTCTCGAGTTTAAATAGAATGTTAAAATCATGTGACATCTCCTCTCGTAGCATAACGTGATTAAAACTCATTAAGCCGGTATTAATTCTTTTTACCCTCAAATAACTTATCCTATTTCTAGGTCTAAACTTCTAGATTTAATATGTAGGTTCCAACTAACTTGTAAATTTCTCAATCATACAAGTCGGTCTAAAATCATGCGAATATGGATACCAACATATTCACAGGCATTAAGTTTAAACACATTAAATCATGAAAATATAAACATATAAAAATAAATCAAACTATTCTTAGTTTCATTAAACTAACAAATAGTTCCTATAACTAGATTTAGAGATTAACCATATTTTAATAAAATAATTATCAAAAGCAAAAATTGGAATAAGGAGTTAAATAGCATAAGTTACTAAACAAACTACTTACTTTCCTTTTTTTCTTGTTTGCGTGTCTAACGTTCCAAGTCTTTTAAAATTGCTACTCCCTCCATTTTCCTTTCTTCTCTATTTGTCCACTTGGCCAACTTCTTCTTCCTCACTTGTTGGGGCCGAATTGGTTCTCCTTGCTGCCTTTGACTTGCATGTGCAGCAACACTTTGGATTTTTGGGAGCTGAGTTCTTTGTTGTAATATCTTTCTTTATATACTACTCCTCTCTCTTTACGATTGCCGTAAAGTTCCACCATCCAAGCCAAAGAAAGCAATAAAATAATACAAAGAAGAGTGGCCAGCAAGGGTGCCTCGTAGAACTAATTGGCCAGCAGGAAAAGCTACTGTGTAGCTTTGAAACGACCTTCAACGTGGTCGTTTCGTTGGACATTTCGAATGCAGATTTAGGGATGACGTATGCACTATCAAATCAAGCTCTTCTTCTACATATTTTTGCCTAAAATAATAAAAAATAAATTTAGCTCATGATTAATTTAAACAAAGAAGAAATTAGCTAGAAATGAGACTATTTTACTAATTAGACAACTTAAAATGCATTTAAATTATAGAAGATATATATGAAATTGTACATATTTTCCTGTGTTATCAAGTTCCCCCACACTTAAATATTGTTTGTCCTCAAGCAATTAACAAAAAGACACATAGGAGGTAGTTTGAAGATAATAAGAAAAGAATTGAAAATTTTGGATTTTTCAAAGACAACTTAAAGAGGATCAAATGTTAATATCTTTTCAAAGTATTAAGAAGTTGAATTTCCATTGTATGAATCGACTTTTAGGAATGCCCAAATTACTTGTCTAAATCTGTATGCGCAAACCAGGAAATTGCTTTACTTAAATAAGCTATGTATATACTTAGCAAGCTTCTAATGTCTCTAATGAATATTTTGAATTGAATTTTTCCAAGTCCCATAAGCAAAGCTACTATCCCTATCTCCACTAATGTACTGCACACACTCAAGAGATTAAAAGGTCTTTATAAGGGTTGTAACAGGGTTAAGGGTATTGGTTAATTATCAAAGGAAGCAACAAGGTCAACAAACAAAATGAGAGGAATCATTATGAGAAAGATCAAGATACACTAAGGATTTGCATTTTATCTTTGGAAGGAGTTTTTCTTTTTAATTGCTAGCATATCACTCCCACACTTACTTTGAATTGATGAACTTGTTCTTATATTTCCTTGTTCTCACTTCCACACTTACTTCTTTGTATACTTGTTTGTAGATTCTTTTTTTCTTTGAATTTTGATGCTAGCTTTGACTTTGAATTCATTTTGTTTTTCTCTGTTCCTTTTTTTTTTTTTTTTTAATTTTTTTTTTTTTGACTTTTTGAATTTTACAGTTTTGTTTTTTCTCTGTTCCTTTTTTTTTTTTTTTTTAATTTTTTGTTTTACTTCCCTTTTTTTTTTTTTTTTTAATTTTTTTTTTTACTCCCAATGCACCTTTTACTTTCTCATACAATTCCTTCTCATACAGGATAAGATATAGTGTTTGAGGTTAAAGGGCAAAGGTTTAGTGTGGTTAAATGAAAAATAAAAGTCTGAAAATAGACTCAAAGGGGTTAACAAGGGATAATATGAAAAGGGTGGTTAAGGATAAAATAAGCTAAAACAATGAATGCCTAGATCATTTCTCAATCATGTGTACACTAGGATTTCGCCTCAATAGGTTTAGACGATTTGTTCTAGTACTGACAAGACAATTAGAAAATCACATTCATGCATACAAAGCTTACTCTAAGAACTCACAATTTCATTATAATGGAATGATAAACATACATTTTTAGAGAAAGTATTTGTACAAGACTAATCATTAATATCATTATGAACATCCTTTCTCTTAAACTTATCTAAATCATTAACATATTGAAACTCTTAAGCTACTCTTTTTCATCCATCAAAACAATTCTCATTATAATAAAACACATAATCTCTTAAAAATTTGCAAAAAATTTTAATATTTTTTTTTTGTCAAAAGATATATTAAGCAAGTATGAAAACATGTATGAAAATGTTTGTTGTATGGACGTATGTATGAACAAAAAAGATTTGCACACTAACAAAATTAAATTCCCCTGAATATGAATCTCCCCCACACTTGAACTTGGTATTGTCCTCAATGCCAAAAGAAAAATTCAGTTTCAACGAAAAACATCAAGGACAAATATTCAAGAGCATGAAAATTCAAAAGTTTTAAAATATCAACTCAATAATGGATAAGTGTCACGACCCATTTCCAAGGATCGAATCAACACTAGGACCTGGGTGAGCTTAAGGCCTCATAGGTCTGTAGTAAACCTAAATTCATTAAGTTAGTACACTATACATATCATGGCCTCTAGTCAAATCCATATAAGCAAGGTTGTAGGCCCATCCAAATGTTTCACAGTTAACTCCATTTATTCAATTACAGTTAACTCCTCATAGTTGTGTAATACATCATAATGAAATTATTGTATGGGATAGAATTTGTATAACTATCTTATTCAATTATAACCCATTCGGAATACAATTGTGGAACCTCTATATACATCTCTAATGCTCTTCTTTAGATGATGTTCAATTTATGTGTGTCTATGGTTCTTTCTTTACTTCTTAAGACTTGGGAAAAAATAGTAAGGCAGGGGTGAGTGCCTAAACTCAGTGGGTAGGGTTAGATAATCTTCTCACTCCACACAATCACACAAATGGATGTGTAAATCAATTTAGTCTTTCGACTAATTATATGATCATGCAGTCGATCACACAAATGACATAGCAACAGTAATCACAAATAGTAACACCTTCATAGAATCACATCAAGTGGAGATTGGTCAATGGCGTCACCAAAACCCGAGACGAGCAGTCCTCACACATGGCCCGCCCTCTCATCACGTGTGCACCAGGGAGTCGATCCCCATACATCGCAGACCGGTCTCAACCTCACTTGACCAACCCACTCATTTTTTTTATACTCTCTTTTCTTTTCCATACCAACAGGAGGCCACCTTGTGGTTTTCCATATCATATTTCATCAAATGTACACGGGGGCGTCTATCTCCCATACATGGCTAACGGTATCATAGACCGCCCTCACAAACCCAACGGTGACCTACTTCATTCCAATTCCATACAAGCAAAGCATACATGAAGAACATCACAACTAATCAAACCATTTCCAATAGCAACAAATAATGCAACACAAAATAACAATTTACTAAGTAATGCATGCCATCATGCCCTTGGTGCACCACCCATATAGCTCTTCGATAAACAAGTAATGATAACCTAGTTCAATGCATGTGATCATATGACCCAACTCCAAATTACCAATAACCAATTCTAACTCCACTTTGAGGATACAGAAACTAACGACCTAACTTTGGATGTAATCCTTAATTAATGAGGGTTCTTCCCCCCTTAGGGATCCACCTTACTGGTTAGTGATAAAATAACTTTAGAAGTTGTCCATCCACTGCTACTCTATCTTACAAAACAAGCACTTTCTATTCAAGACTTCCTATACATGTTTCATCATACTACAATTCTATAGACCACTACTTCTCATACTAGACTTACAATTGGCTTCCTTAATTCATGATTTGATATATCCCTTAGCGTTACTAATTTTAATATCTAACAATTTGTACTTTATATCACTAGTTTTCTTCAAGATCTTATTTTATCAAAACTTTGAGATCAAACTACCATGTATTTATTTTATTTTATATCTTTTTTTATTATTTTTTCTTTTCCATACCAACAGGAGGCCACCCTTGTGGTTTTCCATATCATATTCCATCAGATGCACACGGGCTGTTGATACCCTCATACATGGCCGACGGTATCATAGACAGCCCTTACAAATCCAACAGCGACACACTTCATTCCAATTCCACACACATGAAGCAAATCACAATTAATCAAATCATTTCCAATAGTAACAAATAATGCAACATAAAAAAACAATTTACTGATTAATAATGCATGTCTAGCATTTAGCCGTATATGCATGGATGCAAATGCAGGTGGATGATGCGAATTATCTAACACTACTCACATTTTCTTATTGTCCTTAACAGGACTTAATTTATTACTGTTCCCTTCTAGCTTTTGTCTTGACGTTCTCGAACTTTATAAGCATCTAGAAGGACAATTTCTAAATAAGAATTCTACTTCCAAAAAAAAAAAAAAAAAATAAGCATCTAGAAGAGACCAATTTCCTAAATTAAAGAATGTCTACTTCAAAAAAAAAAAAAAAAACTTAATTCTCATTCGTTAGCTAATTTATTAATCATTATTAGCTGGCTTACCTTTAAACTTATTAATCTACATAGACAAACTCCTTTATTTATTTATTTGTTTTCTTTGTTTATTTATTTATTCTAATTGACACTCTTTAATAAAGCATTAAGGTTCTTTTAGTAACGTAATGTTCTATATCACTAATGAATAAATAATAATAATAATAATTAATTAATAAAGGAGAAATACTAATAATGTTAATAGTATATTGACACTTTAATAAAGCATAAGGTTCTTTTAGTAACTAATGTTCTATATCACTAATAATAATAATAATAATAATAATAATAATAAAGAGAATACTAATAATGTTAATAGTATAATAGTAATGCTAGAATGGTAAGTATATTAATAGTTTTAATAGTTACTCTTATTAACCATGCAACAGACCTAATTCTTTAATAATCCCTTTCTGTCGAAAATCTGGCAACATTTTCTTTATAAATTGGGCTATCCATATTTTATACATCACAAATATCAACACCATACACACAGCCCATCCATCGGGTAAAAAAATCCAATCTAAAGCCCATCCTCCATCATTATAACATCATCTACCATATTCAACTGTAATAACGACATATAAATATATTTCTTATCATTTGTCAATTCAAGTTTATAAGTGTTATCATTTAAGGATATTCATTTCTAACACAATCCATTACAGAGTTCACACTTAAATGTATCAAATAGCTATCATTCAAAATAGCTATCAAGTAGTTATCCATATAGTAATAACAATATTCATAAAAATTCCAATTTATCTTTTACGTTTCGATTCATAACAATTATTTTAAATGACTTATATTCTTAATTTTCAGAATTAAGTATATTCATCTATCGAGGTTCCCTAACAAAAATCATATCTAATTAACTATTTAATCAAAATCAACTTAATCAACTAATAGTTTTAAATTTGGAATTTATATTGAAAATGAGAAACTAAGTCTTAGAGTGTACCAATCAAAAATCGGACTACGATTTCATGATTAGCGAGAGGGGAAAATGATTCTGCCTTCTGGGGGTCTCACCAGAGACTCACCGGCTGGTCAGCGGATCTTCGCCGCCGGCCACAGTACACAATGGCCGGAAAATCGAGCCCGCCCAGAATTTAAGAACGACCATACCATCTGACTCGAAATTCACTAAGGAGTCCATTTCCGGCGTTATTTTGGTGAGGCCAGTCCTTTAGTTGGCCGGAACGAGCTCGACAAGAGCTTTAAGCTGCCATTCATGGCGATTTCACAAATCGGCCATGAACCTCAAGATTGTTAGAGGCAAAACACTCGCATGGGGGAGAGAAGTCAACCGAAGGCTTCCTTGAAGACTGTCTTCATCGGTAACGGCAGGAATCACCAGAAAACGTGACGCCACAGTGTCGAAATATCCTAGACACGATTTCTCTCATCGATGCCTCCGATCACATAATCCGAGGCTACAACTGAGTTCCTCTCGCCGAGAAGACGAACTTAGAGTGCTATATCACCGGTATGCATGTCTGTTTTGTCGGAAAACAACGAGAGAATTGGGGGAAGACGCCGATCGTGCGAAGTAGAGAGGAAAGAAATGAGTTTCTCTCTCCTAATGCAATGGTCTGATCCTGATTCGATTCAAACCGAATGGGTTTGGTTCAATTTAATATCTAGAAGGTTGCATTTGGGTTTTACTCTGATTCACTCCTGATTTAAGTGGTTTTTGGTTTGATTTTTATTTCAGCCGATTTCCCTTAGCAAAATATAAATACTATAACGTTGTTTGAATTTTCTATTTTTAATTTAATTCAGGATCTTTTGAAAATGAAAAATCTAGTCATTTCAATAGGGGTAAGCAATTTGGTAAGAGGCTCAAAAGTATAGAATTGTACTCCCCTTTCTAGGTGTGATTCCAAAAGATGCTGGAGTTGCTTACTTTCATGCATCAAACCTAACACTCAGGATCTATAAAATAATCAACAAAAAGCATGAGAAGGATTTTATGCACACATTAAAAAAGAGAAGTATCACTAGTTATATAAAATTTTAAAAAAAAAGTTAAAGGAAGTAATTAGGATGCTTCCCAATAATTTATAATTTTAGGTCCTTGGCTTGACCTTAAATTGGAGAAGTGCTCGTCAAAAAGTTGCTTTCGCACATAACAGGTGTCATATAACACTATAAATAGGCCATGGTTAACAATGCCCTCAATATTGGCAAGATTTGACATGATGTTGCTTGTCTCTTCAACAACATATGGCTTTGGATTATAGGCTTTGGAGAAGAATCATTTTTGCTCTTGGAGGACATAATGGGGAGCAAGTGGTGTCGAAGGATAAAAGGGTTCTTTGGGTGTTGAGTTCATAAACACCATTAATGGACCTAAATTAATGATTTCAAGTATCTTCTTATTTGCCTATACTTCCCTTGACTCTCGTTCATGGAGGCACTCCTTGAATGACTCTTCTAATTGCTCTTCTTCCTCATCGCTGTCATCTAGAAATATATTGGGTTAACGAAAGCGTGTTTAACTTGACTTTAAAAGAGTCATCTTTTTCAAGTTTGGACTCGATCTGTTCTATAGGATATATTCCTATGAAGCTTCGCCAAAATATGACTCGGTTTCCAAATTTTTCAAATTTGTGGCATTTTGAGCGATTTTGGCTTCTAGCTCTAAGAGACATTTAGTATTTGATTTGTCATAAACTCAAGTTGTTGAAGAATTTTACCAGAGTTATCCATAGTTTGAGTTTGTGAAATCAAAAACTCCTCAAAATAAGTTGAAGTCTGTCCTCATTCCCAACTTGTATATTCAAAACATTATCTTTCTCAATCGGTTGGTTGGTAAAGGTTTCCAATAGAGATTTTATCCCATCATATTTTGACTCCTCTATTTCTTGATGCACAAATGGATTATTCATACTAATAGAGTGGGAGACATGGGGTGGGTATTGGTTATTCCAACTCTGTAGTGAAGGATCCCAATGCCTATAGTAGTCAAAATGTGCCATTTCATTTAACCAATATATTGCATCCTCATGATTCATGTGTATAATATGACCACCTATTGTCTAAGCTCCATTATCTACCTAACTTCTTGTTATCTCATCTAATTCATTATAAAAGTAGAGTATGAGAAATTCATTTGAACGTCTATGATGAGAAAACCTCTCTACTAATTCATTAAATCTTCCCCAAGCAGCGTAGAATGGCTCCGAGTGTTATTGAAAGAAATTTTATAAAGACCTCTTGACGATACATCTTCGAGTATCTCACAAGGTTAACAAAAAAAAAAAAAAAAAAAGAAAAAAAATCTCCCAAGCAGCGCTTTTAGAATGCTACCGGTCGTTATTGAAAGAAATTTTATTAAAAGACCTCTTTGACGACTTTACATCGTATAGTCGAGTATCACAAGTTGTAGATAACAAAAAAAAAAAAAAAAACAAGAAAAATAACAAAAAAAAAAAAAAGACAAAAGAAACTATTTAAAATATGAAGAGAAGAAAAAAAAAAAAAAAAACAAGAAAAAAAAAAAAAAAAAAAAAGACAAAAGAAACTATAAAAATAAAGAGAAGGAAAACACAACAAATTAAAGCACAAATAAAACGAAAAGAATAAAAATATTTCAAGATTAATCTACCAAAAATCGTCTAATATCAACAAAAGATGTCAGTCCCCGACAACAACGCCAAAAACTTGTTGGCTCGCTAATGCGTATTTCGCAAGTGCATGGGTTGCACAAGTAGTATAGAAAAGTTATCGTCTCCACAGGGATTGGGTTGTTGATTATTAGACTATTTAGTTTCTAATTATCTAGAATTTCGTGATGTCTTATCCAAATAATAAATAAATAAATTTATAAATAAAACAACTAATAAATAATAACTAACAAGCCAAAATCATCCACAAATTCAAATTATTAATAAGTAGAGGTAATGTAGCCATGGGATATCTATTAGCTTAATGCGAACCGCGAATAGTTGATTTAATAGATTATGCTTGTTCCTGAAAGAGAATTAACCTAAAGTGTCCAAGTTCCTCTTTCGAGTTTAAATAGAATGTTAAAATCATGTGACATCTACTCTGTCAACATAACGTGATTAAACTCATTAAGCAGGTATTAATTCTTTTTAGCCTATCTCTAGGTCTAAAATTCTAGGTTTAATATGTGGGTTTCGACTAACTTGTCAATTTTTCAATCATACAAATCGGTCTAAAATCATGTGAATATGGTATTGACATATCGACAGGCATTAAGCTTAAACATATTAAATTAGAAAAATATGGACAATTATTAGAACTAATTGTAATTTATAACAAAAAAGTTAATTAGTGTATGTATAACAAAAAAGGGTTCTAATTAGTGTATTTAGAACAAAAGTGGTGTGTAATTTATAAGCTACAAATTAGAAGTCATAACAATATTATTTAAGTTAAATTAATTATAAGAATAATTTTGTTAGAAAACACTTTAAAAATAGTAGAAATAATTTTAATGAAACCATATTTATTTAATAACTGCTTTATTAATTGATTGAGGTTAACTTATAGTATGTTATGCCTCAAATAAGTTGGGAATTATTAATAATGAAGTAAAATCATAAATTTTGAATCGACTACAATAAATTAATTAATGAGAAAAATATATTTAAAGAGAAAAATTTATAAAAAACACTTGGACTTTCTATGGCAATGAAATAAATTATAAGAATTATAAGAAGTAAATATACAAAAGATAAGTAAGTTTATGCATTGACTTTGAAATTGATTATTTTGATATTACTTTATGTGTGGATTTGTATTTTCATTTGAGTAGAAATGATACAAATGTGATGAGTTTGAATTAGAGGCCTACTAGTGACCATGTTTCACTTTGGAGAATATTGTTGGATAATATAGAAGAGTTTATATTATGTTTTTGGCTTGAGATTTGATTATTTTATGCTGAAGTACTGCTAAAATTTTTTTAAAAAACCTTAAGGAACCGTGCACTTATTGATATTATATATTAAGTTTACATATAAATAATTAACCTTAGTTACACGTTCAGTGTATTTCTCATCCGTATGGAAGAGAATACCTAAATTGTCCAAGTTGGACAGTTTGAAAATGTTTGTTGGTAGTCGGAGAATTAAACGACAATCTTATATATATGCATTTATTTGTAATTTATGTTTTTTGTAATCTTATACATATGCACTTTCTCTTTGCAAATTCATAAAACATCATTTCTTGTAATATAATAAATTTATAAACATGTGTTATAACTTTAATTTGTTTAACATGAAAGATGCATAGATTTCATAAGATATTTCTTAACCATAAAATTGATTTTCTTAATCTGTATGAAAATAGAAAATGAATTATCTTTTTGGAACGAAAGGAGTATAATTTAATTATTAAAATCAAAATAATGTGATATTAAATAAAAAAATAATTCTCCAGTAAAAAAAATAAAATAAAGTAGTTTTGTGATGTTTTATATCCAAATATTAAGTTAAAATAATTTTTACTTTGAAGTTACTTAAAAATAAATAACGCGGTTTTGGGCCTAAACTAATTAAGCCTTTTGATTTAATGCTAGTTGTTTTGAATTAGGGTTACATTAATTTTTAATTTTTAATTTTTTTGCAGTGAATGCTTGTTAATTATTGTTTCTAATATCATCACAGATCGGGAGCAGCTACAAGTTTTATTGTTCGTTATTTTTTCTCTTTCTCTTTCTTTGGCTAGATAAGTTTCTTTTTTTTATTTTATTTTATTGCAGAAACATCATGTTCAAGAAAAAAAAAATAGAAAAGAAAAAGTAAACTGATTCGTCAATGGAATTTCAGAGAAAATGGAGAAGGTGGTTCCAAAAAATCCACCATGCGTGACTGCATTATAAATTTGGATTATATTTTTTAATTAATTGTAGCTTTTTATCTTTTATTATATTCTTTTAAGTTGTAGACTTAAGTTATAGAATTTGTACATTATTTCTTGTTCACGCAATTCAACGTAAATAAATTGTTTTCAGTATATGAATGCAATTTAATTTGTTTTTATTTCTATTTATTTGAGTATTCATTTAAAGTTTATCATAGTAAGTAATAAATATTTTCACAATTAATTATATCAACAAAATAATTTATCATTTTTATTTGACACCAAATAAAGTTTAGATACAATAAAATTTATTTTCTAGTGCTGCAA